GTAGGTGACCGGTGACCTTCAGGGTGTCGGGCAGGGTGCTGTGGCTCAGGACGACTCTGGAGGAGAGTTTCTGCAGGCAGAGGGCGGCGCGCTCAGGGTGGGTCCTGCTGTCCTGCTGTCCTTCTGTCCCCCTGTCCCACTGTCCTGCTGTCCCGCTGTCAGACCAGCTGTGTGGACTCTGCTGCGGGCAGCACTTGGAGCCAGGAGTGGGGCCCATGTACCTAGGACCCTCGCCCTAGACCGTGCGTCCTTGGGAGCTGGGTAGACAGCTGAAGGGATTAGGGACAGAGGACAGGGACTGCAGGAGAGGGGAGGACAGGGTGGCCAAGCTGCCAAGTGACATTCAGTGTCATCTGTGCGTTTGGAGTGGCGGCTGACAAAGGGACAGGCACAGGAGGTGTACGTGGGTTGCACAGGAGGCTGAGGAGGAGGCAGACCTCTTCCCCAGGCTCCACTTCTCCCCAGCAGTATCCCTGTGTTGGATGCACCCCAGTGCTGTGTCCTGCAGCCCCAGGACCTTCAGGCATCCTAGCAGGGGGTGCATTTCCACAGCCCTCAGAACCTGGGGGTCCGGGCCCTGAGTAGTGCCTGCTACACCCCTGTGTCCAGGGACCTGGCCGTGCTGCACGGCAGGGAGGAGGACAGCACTCCAGGTCTGCAGGGACTTCTGGGCGCACCCACCCCGGGCAGCCTCTGCACCTCTGCCCCAGCCTTGTCCTGCGCGGCTCCCTGGCCAGCCAGCAGCCTTCCCAGGCCACTCACGTTGTAGGCGTTCTTGATGAGCTGCACCACATTGCTGGAGTCATCGGACAGCTCCCCCACGGCCGCCTTGGGGATGATCTCAGCCAGTTTCTGTGGGGACAGACAGTGGGCGATCGGCACCCTGGCATGGCAGCTCCGAGGCTCCAGATGGCTGGGGTGCTGTCCACAGCCCTTACTTCCCACTGAGCCCGAGGGGGTGCCACTGGGGTGCTGCACGAGGAACCTGGCCCTCAGGAAGGAAAAGGCCACTTCTGGCTGGGCGTGCATGCCCACCCTGCTGTTGCAAGCAGGAGGTGGCTGATCTGAGAACGAGCCCTGCCAAGAGCACAGGAGCAGCCACAGCGGGTGAAATAAATCACCAGGAAGGCTAAGTCCTGAGCCCCTTGGGGCTGAGTGATTCCCCTCCCCGCTTTTTTAACCAAAGGCCTTCACACTGAGCTCCATCTCCAACTCTTTTACTTATTTTGAGACAGACTTGCTAAGTCACTAAGATAGCCATTCTGGGCTGGAATTTGCAATCCTCCTGCCTCAGCCTCCCAGAGTGCTGAGTTTACAGGCATGCACTGTGAGGCTCAGCAAGTGATTTAGTCTGAGTAGGGATGGTCACATGGTGCTGTAACAGCCCACGCTGGCAGCACAGTCCTGCTCTCCAGCAGGGTCCCTGAGTGTGGGCTGGCCAGAGTCGCTCAGGGCCCAGCTGTGCTCCCTGTGGGAACACCCCCTCCTGACCTCCCAGAATGCCGCTGGGCCCCCAGCCCGCACCAGGACTGTCGCAACGTGGTCACCACCCACCTCTGGATCTGTGGCGACATCGCACCTGGGTCCCCCCCGGGGAGACTCTGTCCTTTTGGTCCAGGGCTCATGTGGGCTCTGGTATAGTCTCTCCTCACCCACCCCTGGCACCTTGAGCCTGGGCAGGAGGCCCAGCGGGGATGTTACCCCCATGGCACAGGGAGGTTGAAGCGTGAGCCCCTGCTACTCTTCCCTCACTGTGCTGCAGTCTCCTGGACGTGATCATCACCACTCCAAGTTGAGCCTTGGGTCAGCCTCCTGGGGATGAGGACAGGGGGTGCCATGTCCTGGCCCCCAGGCAGGCTTTCTGCCTGTGGCCCCGTGTGAGGCTGGCTGCTGGCCTGGCCTAGTGGTGGAGAGTCTCGTGGACTCCTGCCCGCCTGCTCCTGTGTCTCAGCTTGTCCTGTCCCTGTCTGGAGCCTGGGGAGCCAGGCGGCAGGAACGTTGGCCTCACTGGTGGCCTGGGGGTGCAGCAGTCTTGACTCACACCTGCTCTGGGAATCTGACACCCAGGTCCTGTTGTTCAGCACCAAGCTGCCTATAGCCACCTGCGGGGCACTGTGTGTGTTTTTCTTCCCCAGAATACAAATTCATCCTCTAGGTCCTGAACCACCAAGGGGCTGTGACTAGCAAAGGGAAGGACTGGCCTGAACCTCACATGGGTGGCTTTTGATGCAGGGCTGGATGCCACAGCAGGGGGCGGGAGACCATGCAGATGTGGCTTGGGGGCCCTTCAGGGTAGACTTGCCCTTCTCAAAGAGGAAAGTTTGAGGGTTTCCATGAAGAAATGGCTCAGGCTGCCCAGGTGAGACAAAGCAGGGAGCTGACCAAGGCTTTGCGAAGGGCATCAGACTTTCTCGAGGATGCCTGGCACCACATAATCCTCTGGCTTGGCTCTGGCTGCAGGAGCCTGGGCCACGCAGGAGAGGTGAGCAGTGTGCTGCAGGGTGGGCTGCAGGGAAAAGCTGGGCCTCGCTTGCCCCGCCCGAGGCCTCCTGCTGACAGGTGCTCTATGTTTATCTGGGGCTTGGCTCACCCAGGGGTCCAAAGCATAACCTGGGGGCTGGGGCCACGTGGAACAGCTCAACCTCTGGAGGGGCCAGGGCCACAGCAGCCACGAAGACAGCTGGATGAGCCCACGCGGCTGGACCTGGCCTGATGGAGCCCCGACTCTGAGGTTTGGGTGTCTGGCTCTGGTGACAACACTCTGGCCTGTTGTCACCACAGCTTTGGGAGAGCTGCTGTTCACAGCTCCACAGAGAGGGGACGCTGAGAGGCTCACATCAGGTCCCACTCCCGGCCTGTGACGGCACAAACTGGAACTGACTGGTGGCTTCCCAAGTCTGAAAGGTCCCTAGCAAACCACTAAGCTGAAGAGTGGCTCAGTACCATGGTGGCCCCCAGCACCGTGTACATCTTGTCCTCCCAGGCCCAGGGACGTAAGCCTGGCACGTGGCTTCCCTCTCCAGTCAGGGTACACAGCCCCTAGCAGCAGAAACATGGCCCTCAGGGGCCTCCCTGACCTCGGAAACGCCATCTGTCCAGCAGCCATTCCTCCCCCGGGACATCCTTGGGTCCATCATTGCTGTCCTTAAGAAGAGGGGACAAGGGGGCCCTCAGTTTTCCCCTGAGTTTCTGGATTCAGGGCCTGTTTCTAGCTGCGCTTTCCAAACCCAGCACTCAAGGAGGACTGTGGCTGCCTACCCCCCTGCGTGGGTGGGGCCGGGCCAGGTCCCTGAGGCCCAGACACTTCCGGGGGCGGGGCTTATCCCTGGGCACAGAGGGAAGAAGGGGCTCCTGGTGGGTGGGGCTGAAGAAAATGGTCTCACACAGTCTTGGCTGTTTGGCTTTTAACTTTTCAAAACACCCGGCTCTGCTTGAAGCCATAAACTTTGCTTTGCCTCATGCTCCATGGAAATGTTACCTTCAGGCATGTGTGGGTAAAACACGAGTTTCCCCAAACAAAAACTTGGGTCTGCGGGTTTTAGAGACTTGGGGTGTTCTAGAAAGATGGGAACTTCCACCCACCGAGATGCACACTGCTGTCAGGGACCTGCGGGAGTGGATGTCCCTGTCAGCCCGCAGGACACTGTCTGGTTCCCCAAGGACACCCTGGGCTCCTCTGCCCAATGCTCCCACCCCGAACACTGAAGTGTGGCACCATCCACAGACTGTGTGCAGCTGGGAGATGGCAGTGCAGGCTTGGTCTCCTTTCAGCAAGGCACCCCCCCACCCCCCGGGCTCAGGACTGGCTCTACTGACCGTATAGGTTGTCACCATCCTCTTGGTCACCGCGAAGATGGGCTGGATGTTGCTTTCAGTGAGTTTGTGCACCAGCTGGCCCACTGACGGGTAGTCCTGCAGAGAGGGAACTCCACTCAGCTGGCCCTGGGTTGCAGACCAGTCCTCTAAGCCACCTACAGGAAGCAAGTGCCCTGGGCCAGAAGGCACAGATAGCGAATAGCTGACAGGATCACACAGAAAGCCAATCAGGATGAAACACGGCTGAGAAAATATTGCGCCAGGTGCGGGCGCTTGCCTGTGACCTCAGAACAATGAGGCAGGAGGATGGCAAGGTCAGGCCCAGCCTGGGCACGTGAGTGACTTAGTGAGACCCTGCCTCAAAAAATAAAAAGGGGCTGGGGATACAGGTCAGTGTGAAGACCTGTGTTCAAACCCCAGTACTGAAAAGAAGGAAAGAAAGATGGGTTGTGACGTGTGTCTTGTGGATCGATCCACAAGGTAAATTCTGTAACTGCTCCCGACCTCGAAGCCTTTGGCAGTGTGGGCAGCATTTTGAGGCATCCACACCAGGGAGCAGGGAGCTGCTCCAGTTCTGTTGGGGGCAGAACCTCCGACAGCGCCCTTCCTCGAGCAGCCTCCTCGTGTGAGCCAGGACACTCGGTTCTGGGCAGAGGCTCGGGGCGGATGCTGTCCTTCCTGGACCTGCTCAGGATCTCAGAGTCTGTGGGCTCCAGATGGGGACCCTGAGCTCCCCAAATCTAAGTCCTTCGTCGCAGTGTGGGGGGACTGCCCCGGGGAGATGGGGCTGGCCGCTGCCTGGGGACGCTGTGTGTGGCCTCACTGCCCCAGGGCTGGACTCCTGTCCCTGGTTGGCCCGCAGGAGACTCACAAACTCATTGCTCCTCTTGTACATGTTGTCCTCCAGGTGGCAGCGCCCGTCATTCGGGGTCAGGATGGCGCCCAGCTTCCCGTCGCCTGCGAAGTGGAAGCCGTCGTCTGTGGCGAACACCAGCAGCCGCGTGACGTTACGCCAGCCGATTTCCTCCTGGGGAAGGCAGCAGGTGTTTCCTGCCTGTTTCCCTGCTGGGCTCCCAGAGCTGGGCAGGCAGCCATGGGTCAGCACCGTTGCCCCCCAGCCCCTAGGGTTTTCACGGCAGTGGGGGACCAGCTGGCAACTGGGAGGAGCCCCCCGCATGCTGCCAGAAGGGCCAGAGACGCACAGCCGAGTTTGGAGATCATTGTTTCAGACCTGGGAAGAGATCCTAAGATCCTAAGAAAATAGCCCCAAAGAAGAAAAGCATGGGTTGAAATGTCCATTGCGATGAGAAACTTGGCAAGTGCAGAGGAAGGCCCTCAGGGTACGCAGCAGACAGCCGACGCCGGCAGCCCTGGGAGGTCCCTGAGGAAGCCACACTTGATCACGGGTGTCACGGACTGCGGTCTCACACACGTCCAACATGATTGCAAGACCATGACTGCCCAGGCCTGGGGAGCCTTGAAAGCCAGAGGGTGGCTGAGCAGGAGCGTGCATGGTCGTGTTACAGAGCCAGGCCAAGGAGGTGTGGGCGGGGACCTGGGTGAGGGGACGCCTGAGCTGGGGCAGCGGTCGCCCCTGGCCTGGAAGGGAGGAGAGGCGAGTGTGCACAGGGACGTCGGGATCAGGCTGCCGGTGGCCCGCTGTGTGCAGAGCCCTTGCACGTCAAGGCTATCAGGGTCACGAGCAGCTGTGGGGTCCGTGGTGTCTGTAGGACCCTGTCGTGGCTCTCCCACCCCGGGGTGGCTGGGGTGACCAGATGTGGGGCCGCTCTTCCTAGGCCAGGCCATCGGGGTGGCCAGGTAGGGGGAGTGCACCTGGCTCCCGGCATGTGGGGCCTGTCTGGGACCTGGGCCTGGCAGGCAGCAGCTCACCTGGCAGGCGGCCACCTGCATCATGGCGTCCAGCCCGCCCTCGGGGGCGTCCAGGTTCCCGGAGATGAGCTGCTTCCCCACCTCAGTGTGGAACTGGTTGGAGTTGTCGGTGAGCTTGAGCACGTGCCGGAAGGCGAAGGGCGGCTGGCACTCCTTCTCCTTGTTGGGGCACGGGTTCCGCAGCTTCTCGGGGTGCGTGTTCACGAAAGGCAGCACCGTCTTGTCCACAAAGGACCCAAAGCCTGGAGCGGGTGGGGCCGCGTGAGGCTGGGGATCGGACAGCCGCCAGGGGCTGAGGGCGGCCTGGGGTGGCCTGTCTGCGGCCAGCTGAGGGGGAAGGCAAGACAAGGCCCGTGGGGGTGCACTTGAGTGTGAGGCGTGCAGGCACGAGTGTGGTCACGAGCATGTGCTCGCGTGTGCTCTTCTACCAAGAATGACTGTGTGCAGGCATGCGAGTGGATTCCTGTGATCACATACATGTGTGTGCCAGTGTGTGATCACATTCATGTGTGAGTATGTAGCTGTGGCGTGACTGCGTGTTTGTGCAGGAACACATGCGTGACCAGACATGCAAGTGTGTGAGTGTGCATGGTGAGCATGTTGTGTAGCATGTAGGAGAGCACATGTGCCTGTGCCCAGGTGTGTATGTGTGGGTCCCTGCACACAGAGGCCACAGCCCATGGGAGCAGAGCATGGGGTGCAGCGCCCCGTCTCTCACACTGGCGTGTCTGTGGCCTTGGGGACCCTGTGAGTGCTGCCCGGGGTCCAGAGGGGACACAGGCCTGACCCCTGCCTGGGACGCTGCTGGGAATGCCACCAGGGCCTCTGCCCACTCCTGGGCCCTGTGTGGATGTGGGCACTGGCCTCACCGATGCGGCCCGACTCCGTGATCTCATTGAGCGCCCGCAGCAGGTCACCGCCCAGCTTCTTGACATGGATGAGGTCATCCAGCATGGAGTAGGAGAGGTCCATGAGGTAGTACAGGTCCACGGGGTAGCCCTTGGCCCGCCGGAAGGTCACGTTGAATGTGGCTGCCTGGCCTGCAGTGGGAACAGCGGAGTGGGAGGCCCCCAGGCAGCCCCCAAGTTCCAGTCAGCTCCTCTCTGCATGGCGGCCTGTAAGGGCCACAGGCTGGACACCCTGGGCAGATTCGAATTCAGGTAAGGCCACCACTCCCACGCCCAGAAGTGTTCATCTGTTTGACCGAATGCTGCATCCACCCAGCCCAGAGTCTGAACCCTCAGCCTCCAGGTGAGGGCTGGGATGCAGGCAGGGTGGAGCAGCCCCACACACCTGTCCTCTCAGCTCGGCTGAGGCAGGAGGACAGAACATCCAAGCCCAGTCTCGCATTGATAACTTATCTGGATGCTATCTCTAATTTTAAAAGAAGGGGGGACTGGGACGTAGCTCAGCACAAAGGCTCTGGATTCAAACTCCAGTTTCTAATAGAAAAGTGCTTTCCATGGTTTGTCGTCCTTTCTAAAAAAAAAAAGACAGAACCTAGGGCTGAAAGAGACCAGACTGTGGACAGTGGGGTCCGGGGAAGGGCCGTGTGGGGCTCCCCGAGCCCCGGCCTCGTGCACCCCGCAACGTCCACCCTGCACATGCGCTCACTTGAGCATCAGCCAGACCCCAGAGCCGCCTAGCTCCTCGCTGTAGAGGACCTGGCCCCTTCCAGCAGCGCCATGCCTACCTGGTCTCAGGTACAGTGTGACCTTCTGTGGGAACAGCTGCTTCTGGCCCCCTCCATACTCCCCTTGGGGCTCGGCGAGGCTCCTGGGGTCCATGATGTCGTCCGGCGCACAGCCTTTCTTCACCAGCTGCTCCCGGGTGTCACAGCGAGCAGAGTCGGGCTCCCCTGGCCCCGTGAAGTTCTGGGGGTAAAGAGTCAGGTCAGGAGGAGGCCACGGGGCAGAGGCCTCCTGACTGGGGGCCTGCAGACTTGGATCCGCAGGGAAAGTCCTAACAGCCTCAGGGAACAAGGTGCTCCCCACCCTCAGCCACCACTGCAGCCAGAATGAGCCAGAAGGGCTGGGCTCGCCCAGCGCTGGTCCCAGGACCCAAGCCATTCTTCACCAGTGGGGCCTGAGTCCCATGGAATGCTTCTCCCAAGGGAGCCTGTGTGTCCTGTTGGCCAGCCTGGGGGCCCCAAGGATCCTAGGACACAGGGGGACTCAGGACCAAGCCCCATGCTCTTTGGGGCTTCTGCCCTGGGGCTGGCTGAGGGCAGCCTGTCTGTCCCTGTGTCCCCCAGACAGTGTGGGGCCTCAGCCTTTCCCCTCCAACAGGGTTGGATCCGTAACCTCCTGGTTCTGGGGAGGCGGACAGGGTGCTCAGATAGGAGGAGCCCGGTCCCCAATGTCTGTGTACCTCACTTACCAGTTTCTGGCACCAGGCACAGCCAGGCCCGGACTGGACACATTCCCGGCAGGTGCTGACCTTGTACTTGGTGCATTCCTGAGAGAGGGCTGGGGACACAGGGGCGGGTGTGATGCAGGGGCACAGGCAGTGGGTGTGTGATGCAGGGGAGGGGAGGAGGCCAGGCTTGGGGTTTAGGGCACAGCCCCGGGGACTCAGCCATGGCTCTGCTGTGTGGGGCCAGGCCAGCACCTACGACTGCCCCCATCCTCCCAGGACTGGGTAGCCCGTGGGGATGGGGCCCCACCCAGCACTCACTGGACCTGAGGCAGAGAAGCCCCAGGAGGGTTGGCAGCAGCTGCTGGGCCAGCATGTCCTGGTAGAGGGCGATGCTCTGGAGTCTGTCCTGAGAGGGCTCCTGTCCGTCCCAACGTAGGGCACAGGACCTGCACGGGAGACGCAGGGGTCACCCTGAGTGGGGGCTGCACCCTTGTTGCAGTGGCCCAGAGCCAGGTATGATGGGCAGCAGGCCCTGCAGGGACACAGTCAGGTGCACACGCACCACGGGGCACACTCACGGACACACGCACACAGCAAGGGCACACTCACAGACATGTGCACACGCACACCACGGGGCACACTCACGGACACGCACACACACACACACACACACACACACTATGGGCACACACACACACACACACCACAGGGCACACTCACGGATACACACACGCACACACACTATGGCCACACACACACACACCACAGGGCACACTCACAGACACGCACACACACACTATGGGTACACACACATATACACCACAGGGCACACTCTCAGGCACAAACACACACACACACCACAGGGCACACTCACGGACACACGCACATGCGCACAGCAAGGGCACACTCACGGACACACACACACACACTATGGGTACACACACATACACCACAGGGCACACTCTCAGGCACACACACACAATGGGTACACATACGCACGCACACACCACAGGGCACACTCACGGATACACATACACACACACACTATAGGTACACACACATACACCACAGGGCACACTCACGGACACGCACACACGCACACACACTATGGGTACACACAACGCACCACAGAGCACACTCACGGACACACACACACACGCACACACCAAGGGCACACTCACGGACACGTGCACACACACTATGGGCACACACACACACCACAGGGCACACCCACATGCACACACACAGATCCACCCTCAAGCTCTGGGGAGAGGGGCGCAGGGGTGGCCCGTCTCTTCGTTCCTGTGTCCATCTCCATCCCTGCCTCTGCCCTGCAGTCCTGTGGCCTCCAGGCTCCCCTGCCCTCCAGAAGTGCAGCTGGCAGCCCTCCCGGCGTCCTTGTCCCAGGCAGGGTGGGAAGGGTTGTGTGGAGCTCACTGGTCCAGCCTGACCCACACTCAGCTTGGCACTGATTCTGTGTTTTCTAGATCCGTGCACCCTGTCCAGAAAAGCCCAGCAGCTCAGGCCCTGGACACAGCAGCTGACCCAGGGTCACCCATAGTCACGCTGCCCCCAGGGGAGTAGGAACAGGCCAGCAGGGGCTGGCAAGCAGGGGCCCTGAGTGCACACACCCTGCTGCCCTCTGCGGAAGTGTCCGGGGCATCCTGGGTGGTGGCCCTGGCCTAACCTCCCAGAGGCAAGAGCTTGGTGGCAACCCAGACCTGTCAGCGAGAAGGTGGAGAGGCCAGGGTGGCAGGAAGCACCGGCAGCACAGGGTGTTATTGGGCACAGAGATCAGCACCCCTGCACTGGCACCAGCTCCTCGCCCTGACCTCCGGAGCTGGGAGCCGGGGCACAGACCTGGCCTGCCGGTCACCCTTGGTGGCTGTGTTTAGTGCTGTGCTATGCCTGGGCTGGCGTGGGTCACCCCTGGAGTCCCTAGGACCAGGGCCACCCAGCCCCACCCAAAGGACCATAATCAGCGCCCAAGATGTCAACACCACCCTGGTCCTTCCCTCTCAGCAGAAAGCAGAACCCGCGCCCGGGTTTGGCTTCCTGGGTGCAGTAGCTGTGGGGGAGGAGGTTTGGGTTCCCCGGGGACCCCACCTTTCCCTATCCCTGGGCTGCGGGACTCAAGCTGAGGCAACTGTGTCTGGCCCCACCTCTCTTCTGCACCCCAAAGTTCCTTGCTGCACTTCCTGGGGGCCATGAATGTGCCCACTGCCCCTGCCACTGCCCCGGGCTGTGGCCTGGGTCCTGGGACTGCTGTGAGGCCACAGCTGCCTCAGGTAGAGTGGGGAGCAGCCCCCAGCACCCCCATGCCATGGTACAGTGCTGGAGAGCAACCTTGGCTCTGGGCGGGGACCTAGAGCCACAGGCTGGACTTCCTTCCCCCACAGCACTCGTGGTGACTGATATGGAAGCACCTCGGGTCCCTGAACACGGAAACCGAGTCCCAACTAGCAGCAGGAGGCAGAACGGGGCGGCCCACCCTTATGCACCCCAGGGAGGGAAGAGTTTGGTCACAGCGAAGCCAGCCACAGACCACAGGGCCCGGCCTTGACCACAGGAAGCCCTAGGCGTTGGGCTGAACCTCCTGCTTGTGCTCGGAGAAGGCAGAGGGCGATCTCCCTCTGGGAGGGGAGCCGAGCCCTGGCCTGTGTGGGAAGCGGAGAAGGGAGCCCCAGCCATTCTGCCTCAGTTTCCTTGTCTGGCTGAGCAGACCACGGGGCCATTATTGGTGGAAAGGCTTGGGTGGCTGCATCTGGAGCAGAGCCTAGCGCCTGACACAGCCTCTGCACACAGGTGGCAGAGGACAGAACAAGGAGACATCTGACCTCCCGCGGTGTCCCCAGCACCCAGGGCTGCGGCACCAAGAGAGGGGAGGGTGGAGAGGAGGCATGGGTGATTCGGCCACCGGGTCTGCCCGGCCTGGACTGGCACTGGCCCCCCAGTGGTCATCACTGGGTCCTCCCTGCCACTGTGTCCCAGATAGGAGAACTTGTCCCCTATCAGCCCCGGGTTGTGACCCCAGACCCCACACCAGGATGAAAGACACAAAGCCTGGCATGGCAGAGGCTGTTTGCAAAGCCAGAGCCCCTGTCAGAGCCACCTTTGACCTCGGCCCCCACCGGAGAAGCTGTGGAAACCGTGGGACCTCAGGAAGTGGCCAGCATCACCAAGGACCGGTGTCCTCTCCTCCTTGGCACCAAGAGAACAGAGTCAGGAGAGGCGCCCTGAGCAGGTCCCTTCTATGCGTGCCTCTCTTACTCGCTGCCTGGAGGTCCTTGGTCTCTCCCTTCACGGGGAACCAGGCGCCTCCTCTGCCACTTGAGTTTCCGTCACTCTCCTGCACCCCAAATGCCTCCGAGTAGCCACAGTGGGTGCTATGTGGCCAGCAGGGGCAGGCCACCATTCCAGGGCTGACCCTCCGTGCACCCGGCCCACTGCGTGGACAACAGGAGCCTTCTAGAGCAGCATCCTAGAGCCAGCACCACTGGCCTGTCCAATGCCTGGACCTGCTGTGACCAGTCAGGGTGGTGGGGACAGCAGGTGGGCAGCCAAAGAGCCCTGGACCGGCCATGCCACCTCCTGTCACCACACGGCTCCCATCCCACTGGGGCCAGGACTGGGGACAGGAGTGGAGCCCACATCAGCCTGACCCGGCCCAGAGCCAGGGGATCAGGCACAGGTCACTTCCACTCTGGCCTCCGCATCCTCCACTGCGACAGAGCAGGTGTCCTGGCAGGGTGGGGCCCTGGACCCCACGTTTGCTCACACACAGGTAGCGGGGGCAACAGAAGGGGCTGAAGGTTAGCATTTGAACCTGACCACTGAGAAAAGCAGACGTCCTCAGCTGTAGGGGCTTCGTCTCATCCTTGGGCTACCAGCCGCTTCTGCCTAAGTCAAAGCTGGCCTCCAGGAGCTGTGGCTCCGGGCAGGAGGGCCCTGGTTATGGAGGCAGCTGGGACATCTGTGCCTTTCCCTTTCCCTTTCCCTTCCTGAAGGTGTCTGCTGGGCTGGCACTGCATAGGATGCAGGAGCTGAGCAGGGCTCCACGAAGCCCAGGTTCCTGGCCACAGCCTCTGTTCCTGCCCCCTTGGCTGCCTAGACACTGGAGGGCCAGCACAGCACGCTTCTCTGCTGACGGGACAGGTTGGACACTAGTGCCGTCCAAGCACTGGACGCCAGCTCCCCTCCCTGCCTGGACGCAGTCCTCCCTTGGGGGACTGGTACCAGACATGCCGAGTGATGCCCAGGCGGAGAGACGGCCGGGTCCCCAGTGTGAAGAGGAGGTGCCTGCTTCAGGGTGACAGACGGGCACACAGATCCAGGTGTCCTCATGGACCCAGCCAGCCACGTGGCCTCAGGCAGGACCCCAGCTCTCACAGCCAAGGGCTCATCCCCAGCCTGCCCCCCTGCAGAACACCCTGGGGCCGGAGTACACAGAGCCGACATTAGGGGCCACCCGGCTGTCCCCACAGCGCATTCCCGGGAAGTGAGCTAACATCACTTTCAGCAACATATTTTATTTTTTGATACTGAGGATCAAACTTGGGCCCTTGCACTTGCAAGGCAGGCAGCAGAACCTCTGAGCTAAATCCCTGGCCCTTAGCTAACGTTACTTTGGACTAGAGACAACTGGGGTGTGGACAGCCGGCCATCCCACCCCTCCAACTGCACACTTTCCGTGTGACACCACCCCAGCTTCGGCCTTGTGTACAGACCGGAAGTTGGACCTCTCCAGCCCCACACCCCCTGTGACTCCGGTCTTTGTCCTGGGTACCTCTGCCAACCGCTCACCTGATCTCGAAGGACCTGGTCCCTGCCCACCCAGGCCCTGCAGCCAGGTGGCTATAGGTGGCCCTGGACAGATCTTCCCTGTGCCCGAGCTGCAGGCTCTGCAGGGACCATGTGGCCCAGGCAGCACATGTCCCAGGCACGCAGCCGAGCGTGTGGGGGCTGGCTGGGTCCGTTCTGAAATGTGAGCCCTGAAGTCACTCGTTATCAGCACCCAGGTGATGGCCAGCACACTGGCGCTCTGCTTCCTGTCCCTTCCCCATCTTCGGCAGACTCCCAGCGCAGAGACCTGTGTCGCCAGCTAATGCCTGTCTCCTGGGCCCCACAGCTCGCCTGGCCCTACCTTCCTGACTGCTATCACTCATCACAGCTGCCCCTCCTCCCCACAGTGGCCCAGGCACCACGCAGAGGGGCCTGGTGTGTCTCCAACCTACTGTCCCCTCCCTGGGCTCAGGATTAGGGACCTGGCCTGGATGGTTCCCAGCTGGAGACTGAGGAAGCAGACAGGACCCCAGGGCCGACCCCAGGGCCAGGGTCTCGGGTACAGGGAAGCCGGCGCTGAGGCATCCCCTCCCAGGCCACCCAGGCACAGGGCCCTCACTCACCACTGGGTCCCCAGGGGCCTGGGCTATGTCGTACTGGGCGGGCAGTGTCTTCACCTGCTCCTTGCCAGCTGCTCTGTGGTTGTGTCTGGGACAGCAGTGGGGCCCGCAGGGAGGCTGGGCTTCCTGTTCTCAGATCCTTGGAGGAAGTGGAGTGACACTGTTGACACTGGCTGGTTCCCCCACGCAGGCCCCCACCCACCCCTGCTCCACACTTGTGCCTGGTGCCACCGTCAGCGAAGAGCCAGAGCGTGGAACCCAGCATGGAGGATGCACGGTCTCCGTGAGAGGCAGGACGGCGGAGTGAGGGGCTGCTGGGGGACAGTGCCCATGTCGAAGGGCGTGGGCCACACCGCAGGCAGGGTGGGGCCGGTGGGCTCAGGGTCCTGTAGGGCCCAGTGTGCCCAGGAGCATGGGTGGAGGACAGCACTGCAGGGAGCACGTAGGTGACGGACAGCCAAGGCCACGCTGCGGTGAGCAGGAGGAAGGAGAGGGCCGGGGAGAGGCCCGGGAACACAGACTGACAGCGGCGGCCAGCCCAGGAGCTCTGGGCAGCAGACACCAGGGGCAGAGGAGGGAGAGGGCTGACCGGACCCTGCGGCCAGGAGGGCCAGGGGTGAGGCCCAGGGTCCCAGAGCAGATGCCCAGGATGTCAGCAAAGCGGACACAGAAGGAAAACAAGAGGGAGGAGAGGCAGATACTCCTTCAGAACAGTGAAACCTGGAGTCTTAGGTGAGCCCCAGAAGGGCCCCGTGCTCCAGAAGCAGGTGCCCTGGAAGGCTGATTCCCCAGACCAGGAAATGGGCCACAGATGAAGGCTATGCTCTGTCAATTTAAAACGGTAGAGAAAATCTGAGCCAAGCATCTTAGCAGACACCGCGGGGAGCGGGGAGTGCGGCGGTGCCCACGGTGTGACATGGGACCGTGGCTCTGACTGAACACAGCATTAAGCGTAGGTGACCGCCATGGGATGCGGACTAGGGTGGAAACAGGGTGCATCCATCCGAGAAACAGAAGAAAGAAAGAATGAGAAATGTAAACACCAAACACAAGAAGATCCTGGGAAAGATTTCACGTTTCCCAGAAATCCCAGTACCTGTGTGCAGGTTCCGGGACTCCTCAAATCAGCTAACTGCTGCATAGTTTTGTGTTTCTTTTCTTTCTTTTGGTACCAGGAATCAAAATCAGGACCTTGTGATTACCAGGCAGGCTTGGCGTCACTGAGCTACATCTCTGTCCCTTGTTTTTCATGTTTTCAGACGAGGCCTCACTGTGCAGTTCACGCAGGCTTGAAAGTCACAGCAACCCTCCTGCCTCTGCCTCCAGAGTGTCAGAATTATAGGCATGCGTCACCACCCTTGGTCTTTTTTATTTATTTTATTTTATTTTTTTTTATTTTTTTGGTACCAGGGATTGAACTCGGTTCCTTGTGCTTGTGAGGCAGGCTCCAGAACCACCGAGCTAAATCCCAGGCCCCAGCCTTGGGCTGTTTTAAAAGTAAATCAATGAAGCAAGTTCTAAAGAAATGTTCTCTGTGAAGTGCAATGTTCCTGCTAGAGGACCCTGGAGTGAGCGACGGGAGGGCAGCGCCTGGGCTGGGCTGTGATGGAGCAGGCCGGCCCAGGGTGTACAGGGCGGACCCGGACTGCTCCAGGCCGGGCAGGCGCAGACAGCTGTCTCCAGAGCAGCGGGACCAGGTCCCCGACAGGCAGCAGGCAGCAGAGTGGAGAGCAGGGGAGCAGCACAGAGCAAGGGGCCTGGAGAGGCAGGCCTGGCGGTGCAGCTCGATTTTCAGGGTGGAGCTGCTGGGCGTTGGGGCGAAGCCCCCACTGCACAGCTGCAGCTCCCACCCACGGCCCTGGGCAGGCGGTGGGTGCGGAAGCTGCCATGGAGTGGGCGCCAGGAGGCTGGCGCTGGGGCCCCGGGCTCCTCACACCACCCTCTCTGCTTCTGTAAGTGTGAGAAACTTTCTGTTGCAAACTGTTTAAAAATACTTTTAGAGGAAGTGTAAGTCATTCAACAGGGCAGAGCTTTGGTTTTGCAAGATGAAGGAGCTCTGAAGGGGCGCTGGTGACATTCTCAACCCCAGTGCCCCTGAGCCGGAATGACACTTAAATGGCTGGAATGGAAAATTGTGCTGTGTGTATTTTATCAGAATTAAAAAAGAAAAAAGTATAAAATGCAAGCTGGGTGTGGTGGCACATGCCTGTGATCCCACTACCTGGGAGGCTGAGGCAGGAGGACTGCTGTAAATTGGAGGTCAGCCGGGGCTTCAGAGTGAGTCCTTGCTTAAAAAAAAAAAAAAAGCAAGTTGCACAGAAAACATCTGACTGAGAAAAGTGCAAATGCTCTGCCTGCAGCTCCTGGAAGGAAACAGCCTCCCACAATTATGCAAAGAAGCACTCAGCAGCGCCGGGGTCAGGCAAATCAGAGCCTCGCAGGCTGGGAGGTGCTGCCTGGGTGCGGACTGGTGCGGCCTTCACTCCCGAAGCAGCGGAACAGCCCAGACAGAAAAAGGCAACATGGAGGCTGAGGCAGGAGGGCCAGTAGTTCAAGGACAGCCTGGGTAAGACCCTGTCTCAGAGGAGAGCAGAGAAGGCTGCTGGTCTGGGAAATGGGTGTGAGGGCTTCCATGTCACCTTGTGAGATTTTGTTTATTAAAAAGAAGGAAAGGGCTGGGGATTTAGCTCAGCGGTTCTGCCACCTGCCTCGCAAGCGCAAGGACCCAAGTTCGATCCCCGGTACCAAAAAAATAAATAAAAATAAAAAGAAGGAAGAGAGGCCGGGGTTCCTCAGTGGGAGGGCAACTGACCAGTATGCACAACCCTGGTTCTAATACATAGGAGAGAAGAACAAGTTCCAGGCCAGAAGTTAATACTTGATAAAATGTGAGGCGGGTGTGTAGGTGTTGCTCAGTGACAACTTCATGCTGCCTGTGCTCTCTAAACGTGTGTGTGTAATTTATTTATTTATTTATTTTAAGCACTGTGATCCCAGTTCTCTGGGAGGCTGAGGAGGGAGGATCTTGAGTTAGAGCCCAGCCTGGGTAACAGTGATTTTGTAAGCTGGGTACGTAGCTCAATGTGAAGGCCTTGGGTTCAACCCCCATACCAGGAGAAAGAAAGAGAAAAGAGAGAGGGAGCAAGGAAAGGGAAGGAGGGAAGGAAGAAAGGGAGAGGATGGCGCCAGGGCAGGGCGAGGACAGGTGAGCGGGGGAGTCTTCTGCGTGTCAGAAGCGTTCTCACGGCAGAGTGGAGATAATCAGCCACCATAAACCACTAACATTTTGCGTTAGAAGTGAGAGGGCGTCTGGTGAATATTGTGCCTTCAAGACGCGGTTTGGGGCCTGGGATTTAGCTTAGTGGTTCTGCCACCTGCCTGGCAAGCACAAGGACCAACCCTGAGGTCCATCAGATGCTGCTCAAAGATGCAACGAGATAGAGCATTCAAAGGAAAAAGCAGCGGCAACCGGCCCTGTGGCTCCTGCCCCATCCAGCCGGGCAGTGAGGCTGAGGCAGGACTGGCACCTCGGGTACGGGGAGGGCCCCCTAGAGTGGCAGGGAGCCGTCCTGATTCTGCCTCCTGTCCCGCCCCAGGGCTGACCTCTGTCCCCAGCTGCCCTCCCCAGGCGGGGCGGAAGCGACCTCCTGGGTCATGAGGGTCACCATGATGGGGGGGCTGCGTCCAGAGGGGCGGGCAGCTCAGGCCCGACAGGGCCTCGGGGCCAGAGAGGACTGGAGGACGGTGGCAGTGCCCAGCGTGCACCAGGCCCCAGCACAGCACTCACACGACCTGCAGCGGGAGGACAGAAAGTTCAAGTCCAGCCTGAGCGACTCAGTGAGACCCTGGCTCAAAACAGGAAGTTAGGGCTGGGGATGCAGCACAGTGGGGTGTCCTGGTTCAGTTCCCAGGACAGAGAAGAAAGAAAGAGGGGAGCAGGGAAAGGGAAAGAAAGGGAAGGAAAGAGAAGGGACGGAAGAGGAAGAAAGAAAAAGAGAAAACAGCGGAGACAAACAGAAAACACAACCTAAACATAGAAGCAGACAGAGATCTAAACTGGAGACCCGAATCCCACCCTGGCTATCAGGGCATGAAGGGCAGGTTGTCACTGTTCACTGGAGCTGGGCGGACACTGGCAGGAGGGGCTCTAAACACGGAGCCAGCTCTATGCTGGCATCGTGAAGCCCCTGTATGTTGATTTCTTTTTTGTGGCACCGGGGTTGAACCCAGGGCCGGGACAGCACCGACCTTCACCCTAATCCATTCATTTGCCTTTTTCATGCTTCCTCCGCTCCTCTCCCTCCCTTCCTCTTTTTCTTCCCTCCCCCTCTTCCCTTCAGTCCTCTGTATCCATTTTTGGTTTTTAGAGACGGGGTCTCACTATGTAGTTGAGACTGGCCTGGAGGCAGAGGCAGGATGTGCTTGTGCCCACTGGGGCCCAGGGGAGCAGGGTGCGGGCATGGGGTGAGGCTGCTCCTCCCTGCCTCCGCCCCGCCCTGCGGTCCGGCCCACGCCTGGTGAGGGCCGCTACAGGAGGGAGGCGCAGGAGCCGCCCCAGTCTGGATCCTTCTCACCGCATCCCGCAAGCCTGGGTGGGATGGGCCCCCTGCCCTCCCCACTGGCCGCCTTCCCCTCAGCCCCTTCCTGGGTAGGGGGAGCGCGGAGGCTGCGGGTCACCAGCTCCCTGAACTCAGTGCAGCTCAGGGGTGCTGCCAGACCCCGGTCTGGCCCCTGCCTTCCACAGACTCGCCCCAGGCTTGGCTGTGGAGTCATGTGGAGAGGAGTTTCCTGGGCCCAGGAGGGCAGGAAGCCGTGGCTCTAGGCCAGAGGAGATGGAGCAAAGGTACAAACTAGGTAACAATCAACTCTGGAGGAAATCAGAACGCTGTGCAAGGAGAAAGAAAACGAGTCATAGCGTGTCCGTTTGACTCAGCAGTGAGCCACACTAACATGGTCAGAATAGCAAAAGGATCACACTCAGTGTGGGAGGCTGAGGCAGGAGGACCTCAAGTGTAGGAGTTTGAGACCAGCCTGGGCAACACAGCAACTTCCCGTCCCAAAACAGAACGGCTCTGCGGGGGTGGTGGGAGAGGAAGTAATGCCCTGGCTCCCCAACGGGAAGGTCACGTCTCCCCAGCACCCTGCCACCTCCCTCCTCTTCGAGGCCTCCGGGCTGCGTGCGCGCCTCCCTCAGGTCAGACTGGGCCCTGACCTCTGCCCCGGCTCCACCTGGCCCCACTTGGCGAGGCCTGGCCCTTGGAGCCCACTTCCTGGGCAGTGTGTGAGGCAGAGCCCCCATCCAGTCTGCTCCCACAGGCGCTTTCCAGGCCGCCCTCTGCCTGGCTGGGGGCGTGGAGGCCGCATTAGAGCGCGTGTGGCCTTGGGTCTGACATGGACCTGGAGCCGTAGGGACCCTGGAAGGACACCTGCTGCCTTCTCACCCTTGCTGTGAGCCGGAGGAGGGCCGGCACATGGCAGGTACTCCAGGGCGTAGATGAGGACACGAGTGGGACGCACTTTGCTGGGCGCACACCTGTGATCCCGGCACTCGGGAGGCTGAGGCAGGAGGATCGTCTAGCTTATTTAGTGAGTTCCAGGCCAGCCTGAGCTATGTAATGAGACCCTGACAACATAAATAAATACATAAATAATAAAAATCACAGCTGATCTACAAGGATATCAAGAATTTTATAAAGTGGAAATCTCCAGCTGGCCTCACAGAGATTCTTCTTCTCATGGAGCTCCCTGCTTCTACCTCTTAACTTTCGAACATGGGAGAATGGTTTAATTTTTCTGCCACAGCTGCTCCGTGTGTCACGGACAGGAATCAGATCATCCCTCCCTCTCCCTGAGATGTGAACTGGGCCTCGGTTCTCCAGGTGACAGCTCGGCCTGGCCCCAGTAGAGAGGACGGGGCTCTGCCCTGCCCAGAGGCCACGGTGCCCCCGCGGGTCTGACCACAGCCGTCCTCAGCCCCCGACCCACAGCAGTCTCCCCCGTGTGCCCTCCCTCGGGGCCCCTCACTGGATGCCTGCATCCCTTCAGGCCCCAGTGTGACTGGACAAGGCAGGTCAGGGGCGGTGACACGGAGGTGGCAGAGGCTGGGCTGGAGGTGGGCACGGATGCGTCAAGGCGGAGGAGGACAGAGCAGGGCGCACAGAGGCCGCACCGGGCTCAGCGCCACTCCCGCTCTGGGCTGCTGGTTGGACACGACCCGAGGTCTGTCTGCACCCAGTCCTGCAGGCCTCTGTGGCGCCATCTCTCCTCCCCGGTCTCTGTCACACAGAGTAGCCCAGGTGCAGGGGCAGGAGGTGCTGTAGGCAGGGAAGGACAGGACGAAGGCCTCTCCGAGCTTTGTTAGGATCAACAGGGAACTTGTAAGAGCAGTTGCTGCCGTCACAGGTAGACTGCAGCTGGGAGAAAGAGAAAGACAGAGGACAGACAGAAAAACTAGGCAAGAGGGGTAGCAGGTGACACAGTTACCGCGAGACTTTATCCAGCAGAGTTACCCCCAAAAGAATTAAACTCATCGCACCACAGCGATATATGCACACCCATGTTTGTAGCGGCACAGTCTGTGATAGCTAAACCTTGGAAACAGCCCAACTGCCCATCAACTGGACACTGGATAAAGAAGATGTGGGTTTTTTATAAAATGGAGAACTACTCTGCCGCAAAGCATGTGAAACTAGAGACATTTATAGGTAAATGGATGCACATTACAGCCATACTCTCAGTGAAATAAATAGGACACGTGTAAATACCGAGTAGTTTCTCTAGTGTGAGAAACTGAAAGTGTAAATAAGGACTATTACAGTAGATAATGTGAAATAGGAAGAAAGGGTGTAAATGGGGTAGGGAAAGTGGGGGGCTAGGGGAAAGGGAAAAATATGAGGAAGGCAAAAAATGGAAACAAAGTCTTTGTAAATCAGGAATGGCGGTGGGAGTGAAGGGAGGGCTGGAAATGGGGAAAGATGAAAACCAAGACACATCATGCAAAGGCACCAGTTCCCGATGATGAACGCCGCTGTACCATACACCTAACGTGTGCCAATCAACTTAACGGAAAAAGAAAAAAAGAAGAGTCAACACTGAGGAAGCCAGAAATGCCAGCCGGGAAAGCCTGCTCCCCTCACTGCCCGGCAGAGTGCAGGGAGGACACAGACTCTTATGTAACGTGTGAAACACACACGCGTGTACACGTGTGTCCCCACTTTAGCATCGGTGGCACCAGGGCCCACCCGGGGCGGGAAGACACTGCCCCTCCCTTCAGCTCCGGAGCCCTGCCGCCCACCCACCGGAGCTGTCCACTTTCTGTCTGTTTCATCTCCTCTCCCACGCATTACACTAAACTTGTCCTTTCTTAGTTCTCGGTGGCGTCGGGGTCAGCACTGGGAAGCTGGGTTCCGAGTGGTGGCACAGAGGGACACAGTGCAGCCAGTGTCCACCCTGGACGTGACATGGGCCAGCTATGGTGAGTGCCCGGGACCCGGTGACAGGGCGGCCCAGGCCCAGCAGAACGGCCCCGAGGGCTGAGGCTGAGACTGAGGCCCAAGCAGGGGACGTTTCCCTGGCACCCTGTGCCCACCCTCATGCAGAGCAGCAGATGCCAAAGGCTCGGAGGGCTGGCCCACCTGGCCACACACTGGAGAGGGTGGAGATTTCAAGTCAGAACTGGCTTCAGAGCCGGGGGAGTGCAGGCCTGGGAGGAGAGACCCCGGCCCTGCTGCAGCTCTGGGCAGTGGAACCAGAGAGGTTCCGACTTTCAGTAAGGCGTGGTGGTTCACGCCTGTGATCCCTGTACCAAAGAAGGATGAGGCAGGAGGATCCTACGTCTAAGCCAAGCCTGGCAACTTGGTGACTTATGGAGACCTTGTCTCAAAATCAGTCGATCAGGAATAAAGGGCTGGGGATGCAGCTGAGTGTGAAGGTCTGGGGCTTAATCACCCCTGACAGAGGGAGAGATTTCACCGTCTCAGACCCGCTCTGTACTCCCCAGGGCCTGCCACAGCCGCTGCACCCAGCCAGCAGAGACTGACTTGAGTAACCGCTTCTCCCACCCCAGTTCCTCCACAGTCTCAGAGCAGGAGCTGCACACAGCTTTTACCCCGTGTTTGCAAAAGTGAGAAGTCACAGCCCCGAAGTTGTAGCTGGACTTCCCACAGTGCCCAGGGCAGGCCAGAGGGGACGACGCCCCAGGACGGTGCCCAGGAGGGCAGGGACCATCCTGCTGGGGGCTGCCGGAGGATGGGAAGTGCCCCAGGACCCAGCGCGCCCAGTGTGGGCTCAGCTGAGTGGCCTCGGTCAGGCGGTGCGGCTACGGGCGGCCACTGGGGAGGACAGTGTCCCGGGAGCGGGTGGGGCAGCCACTCACCTGAGCGCTGCACTGCGGGAGCTGCGGGAACGACCAGGTGTCCTCCGGGGCGGATGGGGCTGCCTGTGTGGGAGGCTGGAAGTCAGGGCGGACAGTCGGACACCGGATGGGTGGAGAGTGCTGAAGGTCATGGCTAACAGGTTGGGCAAGATGTTTCCTGCGGTCAGGACCTGCGCAGCCCAGGGTCAGCGCCTCCAGGGCCGCAAGGCAGTTTTTCACGCACAGATGGGCTTTGGGCTCCTCCACAACTGCGCTCACACCGGGCCGCACCACGCGGGCTTTTGATAGGACACCAGCCCCGCGGAGGCCCACACAGGCACTGCAGACACCAAGACCCCTGCCCTTACCCCAGCGGGCACCGTGAGCCTTTCACCTGCCCAAGCTGAGAGGACCTCTGTTCCACCCTCGGAAGTGAACACCCTCGCTGCCTTTTTTTTCGCTATAAATGCCTGAAGCTCCTCCTCCTCTATGGCAGAGTAGTGCTCCCGTGTATTAAAAACCCCACATCCTCTTTATGTACCTTTCAGTTGATAGCCTTTGGGCTGTTTCCAAGTTTTAGCTATTACAAATGGTGCCATTATAAACATGGGTGAGCATATATCACTGTGGTGTGATGCTTTTAATTCTTTAGGAAGATACCATGAAGAGGTACAGCTGGGTCAAATTAAACCTCTAGTTTTATTTTTTTAAGGAATCTCCACACTGATTTCTGCAGTGGCTGCACAGTCTGCACTCCCACCGGCAGAGGAGCAGGGTTCCTTTCCCCACAGCCCCACCCACATTTGTTATTGGTTGATTTCTTGACAGCAGCCATTCTTTCCTGGGATAGAATCTCAGCATCATTTTTGTTTGTTTGTTTGTTTGTTTTTATACCAGGGATCAAACTTGGGACTTTGTGCTTGCAAGGAAGGCAGCAGAACCCCTGAGCTAAATCCCTAGCCCAGCATTGTTTTTTGTCTGTTTGTTTTTTGGTTTTTTTTTGGTTTTTCTTTTTTTTGAGACAGGGTCTCACTATGTAGTTGAGACAGACCTGGAACTCACTATGTAGCCTGGCTGGTCTTGAACTCACAGCGATCCTCCAGCCTCAGCCTCCTGAGTTCTGGGATTATAGGCCTGTGCCACCACGCCTGGCTGCCATTCTTAATTCTTTATCTGACAAATGTCTTTTTATTTCAGATTCCCATTTTTGTAATAGGTCTTTAAATTTGAGGGGTCTGATTTTTTGTTTGAGTTCTTTATATGTTCTAGGTAATAGTCCTTTATACAAACAGCTGGTGAAAATTTTTCCCACCCTGTGTGTTGTCTCTTCACTCTGCTGGTGGTTTCTCCTGCTGTGCAAATGTCTTTTAATGAGATGAGGTCCCAGTTGCTAGTTCTTTGTAGTATTTCTCATGTGGTCTGGGTTTTCTTCATGAAGTCTTTGCCTACTCCTAAGTCCTCAAGTGTTCTACCTATTCTCTCTTCCAGCAGATTTTGTGTTTCTGTTTTGATATTTAGATCTTTGATCCATGTTAGTGTGTGGTGAAAGATATAGGCTTAGTTCTAATCTTTGGCATGTGGAAAACCAGTTTTTCCAGCACCAATTTTTGATTTTTGGTAGTGGGGATCAAACTCAGGACCTTGCACTCATGAGGCAGGCGCTGTGCCACTGAGCTAAATCCCCAGCCTCTTCCAGCACCATTTATTAAAGAGGGTATCTTTCTTCCAGTGAAGGTGTTTGGCTCCTTTGTCAAAGATGAGGTGGCTGAGTGTCTGGAGTTGTTTAGGCTTAGTTCTAATCTTTGGCATGTGGAAAACCAGTTTTTCCAGCACCAATTTTTGATTTTTGGTAGTGGGGATCAAACTCAGGACCTTGCACTCATGAGGCAGGCGCTGTGCCACTGAGCTAAATCCCCAGCCTCTTCCAGCACCATTTATTAAAGAGGGTATCTTTCTTCCAGTGAAGGTGTTTGGCTCCTTTGTCAAAGATGAGGTGGCTGAGTGTGTCTGGAGTTGTTTCTGCATCCTCTGGTCCATTCCACTGGTCCTCCAGTTCTTTTGCCAGTACCATGATTTGTTTTTGTTTTTGTTTTTTGTTTTTTGTTTTGGTACTGGGGATCGAACTGGGGTCCTTGTGCTTGCAAGGCAGGTGGCGGAACCACTGAGCTAAATCCCTGGCCCCCCAGCATGATGTTTTTAATCACAGTAGTTTTGCAGTATAATTTAAAGTGAGGGATTCCCACTGGCTTAGTTTCTTACCAGACTCCCTTGAGTGCTACCTGCCCTAAGCAGTCTGGACGAGATGTAAGGGATAGAAAGAGCTGTGTTTGGGGACGGGGATATAGCTCAGTGGTATCTCGAAAGCGCAAGGTCCTGAGTTCCATCCCTGGTACCAAGAAAAGGAAAGAGTTGTGGTTGTCCCTTGCTTGCTTACTTTTCCTGTCTTCTGCCTGCCATGAACTGTTTCTGCTCTGTGATGCACTTCTGTCACCTTGCCTTGGAGCCAGACTATTATGGACTGAGACCTTTACAAACTGAGCTAAATAAACCTCTCACCCTCGAACTTTGGGTGTGGGATATTTTGTCTCAGCAATGAGAAAAATTTACTAAGCCAGTAATCCACAGGATGTTGGACACGATAAGTTCAGTGAGTACACTTGCAGCACCTTCAATCAGGCTGCTGTCCCAGCATTTATGGGGGACACGTGTCTCGCCTCGTGAGACTTGGGAATTCCTTTCTAGACTGGATGGGTCAGAGGGCACAGTTGTCCCTGGAGATGAGTCCGTGCAAACACTGGCCATGCCCATCCTGCCGAGGGCAGAAGGAAACGGAGTGGACTGTAGGTTCGTCGCTGTCTCTGTTGCGAGCCCCAGGCCATGTTGGGGCACAGGGTGGAATTATGCTCACAGGGCCCCACGGGGTCGATCCTGACAGCCTCATCACCGCTGTGTGCTCAGTTCTCAGCCAGCCGGGGGTTCGTGGTGATCGTGGTGGTGCTCTCGTAAAGGCGGTCATCCTGCTGAGGACAGGGACGGCGCGGGAGCCTGGGAGGTGTTCAGAACACCCTCTCTGGCCACTAGGTTCCTGGGAAGCCACCATCGAGGAAGGAGCCAGAAGCGGGGCATCCCCAGGCTTAGCCCTCAGTGGCAATGCGTGCACAATGGGGGGGAGCTGCCGGGTGGGGTGCAGTTCCGGGGACCCAGGCCAGCAGCAAGGGGCTGCAGCATGCGGGAGGCCTGAGTGCTGCCTGAGCCCCCAAGGACAGTGACTCACGGTGTCAGGAGGGGCTCAGCTTCTTCCTTCTCGAGGCCTTGGACACCTGGGGACCAGTCAGGTAAGGCAGCGCCTTGGTGAAGATCACCAAGAAGATGACGATCAGCAAGGAACCCTCTACCAGGCCCCACAAGCGAGGCCTGCACCCCCCTGTGCCCCTTCCCATAGGGGTCCTGATGCCAGCCTCCCCACTGCTAGGGGGAGGAGAGAAACCAGCCCCAGGCCATCTGAAACAAGGCCAGGCTCTGTGGATCCAAATGACACTGAAAGGCCACTTTGTGTGGCTCCTGCCCTGTGCCCACTACCCAACAACAGGCCCTGGGGTCCCTGTGTCCCCAAAAGGACCCTGACTCCTGACTCCTGGCTTGGGGCTCTGCACCCTGGGGACGAGGCTGCGGCCTGCACTGAGGGAATCTGGGTCTCTGAGTGGCCCAATACCTTCCTCCCCTGGATTGTAAACCCTGAAAGGACTGGCTCGGGGTCTCTAGTTCATAGCCTTCCCTGCCCTGCAGGACCAGAGCTGAATGAAGGACTATGTTTGGGGGGCAGCCCCTGGGCTCCCCTACAATAAACACATTTACCAAAGACAGGGGTTCTGTGATTGCTGTCTTATTACCATGACTTCTACAGGCCTCGTACAAATTCTGCTGGATGTTCCAGTACTATTGATAGCTTTTTTTTAAAAATAGTTCTGGTCAATGTCAAGACCTCATGTAGCCCTGTGAGATCCAGGGGCCCAAGGGGGCCATAGGAAGGCACCTTGGACCCAAGAACCCCACTCCTCTCTGGCTTCTGATGACCTGTGAGCTGCAAAGGTGTCTCCACACAGCCAAGAGAAAACACACAAGCGTTCAGGGGAAGGGACTCTGGGGACACAGGTCACAGTGGAAAGGGCTTCGGTCCTCGGCCCAGTGCCCCGTGATGCCAGCCGGGCGTCTCCTCCAAGCTCAGCCACCTTCCCTCCATGCCCTTGAGGGGTAGGAAGAGCATGAGGGCTTCTGTAACCTAGAAGGGCTCTGACCCCTGTGGGGTGCCAGCTCCCCCAGCACCGGGTCTGTTCCCAGCCGTCCCACCTCTAGCCCCATGCCCCGGGGGAGACCCCAGCCTTGAATCTGGGGACATGCGTATCCCCCACAGGGAGGGCTTCTTATCCTTGGCGTGTGTATTCTTCACCTGGAATTCAGTCTCCCCAGGCACCCCATGCTGTGGGGGCAGAGGAAAGGGAGGGCCTGGGGCGCTGGGAGGGTCATTGACCCAGGAAAGGGGCCCCAGGAGACCAGAATGACCCTGCAGTGCCACCTCTCTCCTTGTCCCCGCTTGCAGGTCAGGCAGCTGCCTGCCCCAAGACCTTCCGGGTGACCCAGGCCACCCCAGCCAACCTGTACTTCCTGTTGGCCACCTCTGACTCCACGTCCGGCCTCATCAACATCCATGTGCTGGGCAGGGACCTACCGCAGGCCCTCGAGGGCAGCACTGCATCTGGCCGCGTCGATGAGGCCTGGGGCAGCTGCTGGCTCTGCCTCCCCAGGTCCTGGGTGCCCTTACCCAGGCAGGGCTGGGCTCAGGCAGTGTGGCTAGAGCTGGGACTGAGTTCCAGCCAGGCCAAAGGTGTCGCTGGCCACCGAGCCCACGGACAGCGGAGCGCCCACCCTCTGCTCCTCTCCCTCTTCATCTTTGATGCGTTTAAAAGATGGAAGTCTCAGAGCACCAGTCGTTAAACATGAAAGACAAAAGTAGATGCGGAGCACACGGTAATCAGCATTGGGGAGATAATCACAGAAACCGGGGCCAAGCACAGAGGGGTCACGAAGCACCAGGCTCAGCCGATCCTCTTTGTGATGTGTAATCAGAACAATCTAAGCTGGGCGCAGTGGTGCACACGTGGAATCACAGCACTCAGAGGGCTGAGGCAGGAGGACTGCTGTGAGTTCGAGACCAGCCTGGGCTACATAGTGAGTTCCGGGTCAGTGTCAACTACGTAGTCAGACACTGTCTCAAAAGACAAAAAAAAAAAAAAAAA